AGATGCTTAGTAAGTGTTTGCCAGATGAATCTATATTACAGCAGCTATTTTGCATAATTGTGTTCAATCTTGAGCGCAAATACCACAAGTTGTATTTTATTCCAGTTTCTGAAACTGATGCCTATACATAGTTCCTATTAGATATTTTGGTTTAGGTTCTAGCAGCTTCTTTTACACTACTGGATGCCTGATCTCATATTTACACTGGCACCTTGTCTTGTTGATGGGTTAGTTTTTTTTTGTTGTTGTTGTTGTTTTGTTTTTTAAAAATATTTTTAGTTGTAAATGGACACAATCTTAATTTTTTTATGTGGTGCTGCGAATTAATCCCAGTGCTTTACACATGGTAGGCAAGCACTCTACCACTGAGCCACACCCCCAGCTCATGTTGTTGTTTGTGTTTTGTTTTGTGGTACAGAGGATTGAACCCAGGACATCACACAGACTAGTCAAACTCTGCACCACTGAGCTATGCCCCCAGATTTCTTTTAAAAATTCTGTTTTGGRATAGGGTTTTGCTAAATTTCCTGAGCTGACCTTGAATTTTTCATCTGCCTGTTTCATCCTCTCAAAGTAGCTGGGATTACAGGCATACACCTCCATGGCTGGCTATTATACAGTATGTAATTTTTAAAGGTAACAATCTAAGATCTAGGATTCACAAACTGGCAGTGGTCCTGGGCCAGGAGCAACAGTGCTGTTTGTTCAGCACAGTGGTCTGAATTGTTTTGACTCTGAGTGAAATCCCTGGGCAAGTCTTTCACCTTAGATAGCTCACCACTCTTCATTTGCTTCACAATGATGCTTTCTTTCAGTATCACAATTATAATCATTTAATTTTTGTGTTTCTTTGTTTATTGTCAGTCTGCCTTTTGAGACTGTGAATTCCATGAGGTCAGACAGCTTATCTACTGTGTTCATTGCCTTACAGCCGAGTCTTAGCCCAGGGCCTGGTACCCAGTGGCACTTGAGTGGACACATGAATGACAACCAGGACCTGAGATGATCCTAGGTGTGGATACAAAGTAATAAAGTTGGTCTTTTTCTAGCCATGTTTACATGTGAACTGCCCATAAAGCTGCCAAAGTGACTGCCATTGCTTAGAACACTCATGAAATCCTCTGTGGAAATTGCCTTCTTTCAGTCAGTTTATGGGTCAGCACGTTGTTCAGAATGTTCACATCTACCAAGTATGCTTTCCTATGTGTTTTGTCATAGAAACAATCCATTTTGACATGAGAACTCTTAATCATGGTTAGAGAATATATTTATGTGTGTCCCATAATAAATAGGTGTAGGGTGGCCTTGAACTTAGTTCTGGTGCCAATTTGGTGCTTTTTCTACTTTTCCACGAACAGAAAGTGCTTTGTTCAGTCTTTATCCAGAGGGGCCTGTTCCTCTTGTGTGTTTTCGAGGAAAGAGGGTGAGATCATTCAGCATCTTCCAAAAACACTAAATTCACTTGTATGTCAATGTGTGTAAGTAGACATAGTCAGTGCCGGGTTAAAAAACTGAAAACTGAGCTGGGCTTGGTGGCACATTCCTATAATCCCAGTGGCTCAGGAGGCTATGGCAGGAGGATCGTGAGTTCAAAGCCAGGCTCAGCAATTTAGCAAGGTCCTAAGCAATTCATTAAGACCCTGTCTGTAAATAAAATCTAAAAACAAGCTGGGGTTGTGGCTCAGTGGTTTAGTGCTCTTGGGTTCAATCCCTGGAACCAAACAAACAAACAAACAAAACCCCAGAGAACTAAGACTTTGGACTATAATAAATGGTCAATCTCTGCATGGTGCTCTGCCTCAGTGTGGTCACTGTGTTTCCCTGCAGAGGCTGAAGCTGAGCTTTGGCACCTTTCTTCCTGCCCTTCCTGGCTGGGATTACTGGGAAGTGTGTGCCCAGTGCATTAGTGGAGAGCAGAGGTCACTTGAACAGGGTTTCACTTCCCAGAATTGATAACTCTGTTTCTGCTGATGCCAGCCTACTCTCCTTTAAACCAGAGGCCCTCAGTCTGCTATTCCAAATACTACCCACAGGCCACTCATCTCTGGCTTGTTCCAGCATTCCAAGGAGGTGCTGTGGACTTCAAGGTATCTTCTGGTTCCCAGTCCCACGGTCAAAAGACCAGAGAAGACACTGGTGCTGGGGCCCACCACTGACAAAGTAGCTGCCATCTGAGGTATGATATTGTTCTTTCTTTCTAGTTGAAGCCAACTTTGGCTGCTGCTTCTCAGAAAAGAGCAGCTTACTCTGCTTTTACTTTGTGAAAACAGATAAAATTTGCAGATATATTTTCAGATACTGGTCATAAACATGTCACTTTAAGTAGTCCAGCTGATTAGAATTGGTCATCAGTTATGAAACATAAGGGTAGGTGTAGGTTTATATGGACAGGATCCTAAATGTTTTGCTGATACTGAACCACCTTTGCCATGTGACTTCAGTGTCCTGCTTTCCAGTTGGAACACTCTCTGCCCTTTAGCCTAATTTTCTTGTAACATGACAAATTGTCTTATGACTTATCCTTCTTGCAGACCTGAAATGATGCTTTTTAAAACTTTCAAGTATTTTTAGATTCTCRGGTGTAGTTATTTAATTTTTATGTTGTGGCTTCTGAGTTGATTTCAATTGCCTGTTTGTATTTTGTTTTATATGTGTTTTTTAATTGTATGAGAGACAAAAGGAGTTTTAGGAACAGATTCCATCTGTGAATTACGATGGAGAATTTTAGTTAAAGTATGCTAATCCATAAAGGATGACATTTCTGCTCAGAGTTGATCTTAGGGTGATGGTCTCATTTCTGATTTGAGGTTCTGAAAGCACTTGACCTTTTGATGGGAAATAAGGGAGCAACTGAATCCAAAGTCACAGAGAACCCAGGAACTCTGCTTGGGTCTGAGAAATACTTACCCTTGAAGGGATTTTCATTCTTTTGAACTCTTTTAACCTATTTCCAGAGCTCACTAATCTTGTCATGTATGAAACTACCAGCAGACATCCTTAGCATGTGATCTCTGAGTTGCTCTACCTCACATCAGTTTATGTGGCTCATTATTGCAAATTCATGCCTCGAGTCCTTTCTCTGGCAGTGAAGAGTGTGGATATGACTGTGGTGCACACACTGCATCCGTAGACAGTTTGTCTTTTAGATGATGCGTGCTCTTTGTTTTCTATGGAGGTATCTCCTTCTTTTCCTGACCTTTCTCTCTGTACATGTCCTTGCCCTGCTTCCTGCTATGGCTCACGATGGTGCTGGAAAGACTGTCTCTTCTTTCCATCTCCAATGCTGAAAATGATGAGCAAGATAATTTTTCCCACTCCCTTTTTTTTCTTTTTTTTTCTTTTCTGCCACCACACGTGTCTTGTACTTTATTATTGTGATAATATACAAAATATAAAGTTGACATTAAGGAACTGGACACTCTAACTTGACACTAAAATGCTCAGGGTTTTCAATGTATGTTTTAGTCTTCTTTGGAACATAAGATGTATTTTTTTCTTTTTTTATTAATTTTTAAATTTATCTTAATTATATATGACAGTAGAATGCAGTTATGCACTTTGATATATCATATATAGATGGGATATAATTTCTCATTTTTCAGAGTGTACATGTTGCAGAATCACATTATACATAAAGTAATAATGTCTGTTTCATTCTACTATGTTTCTTATCCCCACACTCCCTCTCTTCTCCTCCTCTCCCATCACTTCCCTCTATCTAATCTAAGGTAACGCTATAGTCTTGCCCTCCTAGTCCATGCTCTGGCTATATATTTGAAACTAGCAGTTAATAAGCATTCTGATATGAAATACATAATTTATAAGCACATTAAAGTTCCTCTTATGCAATTTTCAAAGAAAACAGGCTTGTTTTCCTTTAACTTTGCTATAAATTATATAGAAAATTTAGTTTTAATCTGAAATGTGGCCAGTTAGGACACAGTTCCTGTCTCCTACTTTATAGTAGTCCCTTTGATGGGAGAAGGCTCCTGGAACTTCACAGCAAGGCAGTGTGGGTGATCATTGTCTAATTCTTGGCCATCATGGTAAAGCTGTTTCTGAGAGGTTGGGAAGCCCTAGCAGCCTGGGCGCCCATCACTGCAGAGCAAAAATAAAACTTGGGAGGTCTTTAAGAATTTGATCTTCTGGAAAGTGTTAGGAGTGCTCATTTGAACAGTTTTGTCTGGTCAGGGAAATTATGCTAAGACTGAACCTGATTCTCAAATAAATGGCTTGCTTCGATATATTTTTTTCCACCATCATCATTCTTCTTTTCCTGGGGAAGGTTGGCACTGATTTTTAATTTACTGTGCATTCTGTCACTACAGACAAGGCAGCTGTGCACTCTCCCCACAGACGGTGGCCGTGGACTGAGGATGGATCCTSTTAACCCTGTGCCATGTTTGCCTAAGGCAAATTGATCCCCAAGGCCAGGGGACCAAGACTTGGCATGTGATGTTGTGTCAGGTGTTCAGAGAACCCCAGAAACATCTAGGACAGTGTGTAGCTTTCTCTCTCTTGTTCATGTTGTAGGTTGCTGGCTTGAGTTTTGTTTTGTTTTGTTTTGTTTTAATTAGTTATACATGACAGTACAATGATCTTGACATATCATACATTTGAATCAGATGGGTATAATTTCTCATTTTTCTGAGTATAYAGGTTGCAGAATCACATTGGTGAGTACTGGTATGCCACCCTGTCCTATAGCACTCACCAGGTCACTGAATCCTAAGCCGAATGACAGTCTCAGCTTGTTCTTGGGGGCATCTTGAGGCCTGTGGTATTGCTGTCTGTTCATGTCAATGCAGAGTGATAGAAAACAAGTGCCACCATGCTGAATAGTTGTTGTGCCCTGCAGGGTCTAGAGAGACACTTGCTTGGGCTCAGAGCTGAGGTCTGCAGAAGGGAGATCTGGAATTTGTATGTTATAGGAGAAGCCTCAGCAAATCCTCTGGGTTCTCTTCTCTTCTCACTAGTTGATTTGGTTTTGGTTCTTCCAGGAAGAGTCCGCTGAAGGAGAAGGTCATGGACTTGATGTCCTCTACTTCCATCCTGCCCCTGCTGTTAGGCTGCCTGGGCATCTTTGGCATCTATCAGCTGCTGCAGCGGATGCGCATAAAGGCCTACGTTCAGAATACTGTGGTGGTGATAACAGGCGCCACCTCTGGKCTGGGCAGAGGTAGGTCGTGGGGATGGTTGGGGTGGGGAATCAGCCAGTTGAGAGAGGGCTGTTTACACAGGGGCCACAGGAATGCAAGTGCAGTGTTACTGTCTTTGGTCCAGTTGGAAAAAGTGGGGCCTTATATACAGTGAGAAACAGCCCCTGCCTCAGTGGGGAAGCAAAAGCAAATGACTGCAGGACCTATTGAAGGGGCAACCTTCCTAAGCTCCAGCTGCTTATTAAAAGAAGATTTTTTTTTTTTTTTTTTTTTTTTTTTTTTTTTTTTTTTTTTAAGTATCGAGGATTGATCTCAGGAGCACTTGGCCTCTGAGCCACATGCCCAGCCTTGTTTTGTATTTTATTTGGAGACGGGGTCTCACTGAGTTGCTTGGCACCTCAGTTTTGCTAAGGCTGACTTTGAACTCAGGATCCTCCTGCCTCAGCTTCCCAAGCTGCTGGGATTATAGGTGTGTGCCACCGCGCCTGGATGAAAGAAGGATTTTGATGTGAAATTGCCCAATTTTCAGATATGAACAACTCATTTAACAAGTATTTTTGCCTCTGCGAGGGACAAGTAAAATATGCATTTTTTCCTAGATTCAGCCAAAACCATGGACCTTGGTACATGGCCTTGGTGCATACTCCCTCTCTCCCTTCCCAAGTGTGGCAGAGTTGGAGACAGGATCAGTGAGACTTCAACTTTTCCTCAATGAGGTCTACCGTTCACTGCCATTCCCCTTCAATGAGTATTCTGAGCTTCTGAGGCCTGGAGTCTGGGACATAGGCCTRGTGGCAGTTAAAGCCTTGGCCTGGTTCCTTTCCTGGAATCCCACACAGATGTGTTGCAGAGCTCAGTCATTGATTCTGGCAACTTAGACAAAGAGTGTGCTTCATGAAGCTCCCTCCGTCTTCCTTAGMCTTTTTTATGTGCCATGCATATTCAAGCACATGTCCAGGGAGGAAAGCCGAGATGTTCCCAGAACTGTAGTAAGCTTTCCTGCCACTGTGATGGCAAAGCCAGTGCCCACCAAGTATCTTCTAATCCTGAGACTCTGGGCCAAGTGCTGGACAAATAGATGAAAGACAGAGTCTTTGGTTCTGGGGATAGCTCAGTGGTAGAAGGCTTGCCTAGCCCGCACAAAATCCAGGCCTTCATCCCCAGCACTGGGAAAAAAAATTAAAGACAGGAAGGTTCCTCCTTCTTGAGGAGGTCACAGTGTGCCGGAGAAAGGCCAGGGTTTATCTTGGCATACTGCCACTTCAGTAGTGGGCGTTCCCCGTCAGGCCTGCTGCCAGGAGGCACATCTATCTGTACATGCCAGCTTGTGCCACACATTTTCAGGTGCAGGGTGTCACTAAGTTATCACAGCTGAGATGCAAATCACAGTACGACTTGCCTTATGACTTCCTGCCAGAAAGCACAAAGCCAAAAGTCAGACCCACATCTCTGACTCTAGAACTCTGTCCTAAATCCTTAATTGGGGGAGTGAGGTGATGACTATAATAGGAAGATGTGGGCCAGTAGAGTGGGCATTCTTGACTGGTCCAGGGGTGGGAGTGACATGGTCATGCAGGGAGTTGTGCATAACTAGAGGCTGCAGAACACAAAAGAAGAGACAGGCCTTGTCCGTAAGGCAGGAGGCTTGCGGGGAAGTACAGGAAGGCTTTAGGGAATGTGAGTTTCTTTGTGCACCACCTATCAGGGGTGGTAGGTGAGGTCTCTGGGGGTGAAACCGCATCTGTCATTGAAGTTATTGAATTGCCAGACCTTCGAAAGGACAGCTGCCGCCAAGCCCTTTGCCATGGTCAGTCCTCTGACCTTACTCAGTCACTATAAATAGGAGTCAGCAGTCTCTTCTCTTGATCTCAGAGAGAARCAAGTTTTAAAAGTCTTTGAAGAGGATTTGCAAGCTGGCTGGGGTGGAATGGTGAGTTGCAGGTGCCCCCATAGATGGAGGTTCAGAAGGACACTGTCCTCTTTATTCTGCATCTCCTCACATGACACCAAGACTGTGAAGGGAATAGAAAATGTAATTGAGAAAAATAACCTGCAGATATAGTATATGATGTCAGGTCTTTTCTGAGTTCTAGTCACTAATTTATATTCTACCCTATTTAACATCTTGGGGACAGGAGTCCCTCCATCCAGATAAAGTGGGAGCAGATTTTCAATGGGCTGTCTCAGTACAAACACTCACAGGTGATTATACCAACAGCTGTTGTGGCCTAGCTTCTGTGAGGAGGGAGATCTGTACTGCCCTCAGTAGCTCTGCCTGTCCTGACCTTGAAGGTTGGGGGTTATATGATGAATCTTCAGAGAGCTTTATGTATTTTCCTAATTTCCTGTCTTGTGCACTTAAGCTACATGATCTTATCCTTACAGAACAGTAGCACCAGTGACTAAAGGAACAGAATGTTCTGGATGCCTGCTTCAGCTAGCCTAAAGCACATGGCTCTGCACAGCTATCTTGATTTGTTCAAGGCAACTCTGGGGACTCATCTGCTGCCCTAGATAACTGGCACCTTGGAACTGTTAGCCTTGTTCCTTGACTTTCCTGTCTCCCTGCATCAGGTTTTTCAAGGAAGGAAAATGAAATCCTTCCAATGTGTCATTTTCATTTCCATCTCTCTCTACACAAAACTATAATTTCCTCTTTTTGACTTTTCTAGGAAGCAAAGTAGAATTTAAATGATCCTTTTCCAGAAGGGTACCTCCCTACCTTTGGTTAAGTCTACATCCTTTGGTGGCACCTCAGTGTGTTGATCAGGACACGACAGAATGGGGTGAGGAAGCTAACGGGACCAAGGATCCTAATATTTGGGAAGGACTCAGTAAACTGGCTGAGCAGTTCTAGCCTCAGGAAYGCTGGCGTCTGGTTTTGGGGTGTCCCCGTCCCCACCTTCAGTCCTGTGAGGACTTTGCTGTTCTGCTGGGAAGGAGCACAAGGGCAGGTGGGGCTGCTGCTGTGACCTGACCAGACTACCAGGGACAGGCAGAAGCAATGGCAGTGGCTCTTATGGGCCCTCTACATTTCTTCAAGTAAGCCAGTGAACAAACCAAGCAAGTCTCCAAAAGCTGTGCAGCATCTCTGACCTGGAAGTGCACTTCTATAGTCTGCCTGGCAACTCTCAGAGAAGTGAGGTGCAAGAGACGGGCAGCCCGGGCATAGCGAGTGAACAGGGCCAAAGGGGACCTGTGGGGTGCAGAAAGGGCTTGCACCGGGAGACGGGGGCAGAGCACCTTCTCYTTGACATCTCAGGCCCCTGAGTTCTAAAGGACACTGGGATTTTTTTCTCCCTTCCTGTTTTGAACCTTCTAGCTTTAAGGAAGCTTGACATACACTGCCCGAATTTTCTGACCTTGTCCCTTCTCAGCCTAGAAAGTGACAGCCCTCATTCCTCCTCCACTCCTTGCTGCATGGCTTCCAGAGATGGAATTGCCCTGTAGGGCAGGCCTGTCCCTTTCATGAATCACAGGGAGGCTCTTGGGCCTCTTAAGATTTGGTTGGGAGCCACGTGGGTGACACACTGGCTTCGGTATGATCAGTGAGAAACAAGGTGTCTTGTGGAGATCTGCTCCTGAGCATTTTTGGGGAACTAGACCTCAGGTGAGGACAGGCAATGCCCTGCCTTACACCTACTCACTTCAGTTTTCAGAACATTTTTAAATGGCAGCTTAGAAATATTAAAGTATTAAAAACAAGAAGTATTAGAACAGTACTTCCTAGTGCTTTTTGTTTACCCAGCACTGTAGGAAGTGATTGCCTACTTAAACTYGTTCAATCTCACAGTTCTCCCTGAAGTAGGCACTATTTTTATCTGCATCTTAAAGAGAGGAAAGCAAGACGCAAAGAGGTTATAACTTACCTGACATCATGGAACCAGTAAATGTGGGAAGTGAGAATTGAACACAGGAAGTCTGGCTCAAATCTGTTCCCGCGACCGCTGGGCTGCCTGCTTTTACAAAGCCATGAGTTTTCAGGGTACTGAACAATTAACGAGAACACGTTTGGTGGGGGGGGAGCAATAAACATACCTTCCTCTCCTCCCTCATATCACCCTTTGCTTCCGTTCCCCCCACCACCATTTTGCTGCCTGAATCCCTCCCCTAGCCTAACAAGGCCTTTGAACCTTCCTCTTTCTTGCTTTTTTTTTTTTTTTTTGGTGATGCTGGGAATTGAACCCAGGGCCTGTGCACGCGAGGCAGGCACACTCTACCCACTGAGCTATATCCCCAGCCTAACCTTCCTCTTTCTGCACTAGCATCATCTATTCATGACTCCTCCTGTGCTTTGCGCACCTTGCTCCCTCTGCCTTGAGCAGGTGCAAGCAGCCCCTCAGGCTCCAGGGTTCCTGGGTGGGCCTCCTCATTCCTTACAGAGTCCTTTGCCCTCATTTTTTACAGAACTGTGCAGGTCTCCTGTACAACTGTGTGACTGCAGATGAGCAGTTCCAGAAACAGGTTAGGTGGTGCTGGAACACAGCCTGTTGGACAGTGTTATAGCAGCTGGTCTTGCCTATCCTATCCCATTGGTACAGGTTCTCTGCATGATCATGAGGAACATCACTCAGCCTGGCTGAGCTTCCTCAGCCATGGAAATGGAGATGGCAATCCCAGGGTTATTCGTGGAAAGTTCTGAGCATAGTACTGATCATAAATCTGTCCACCCTTTGCCTTCCTCATTGCTTTGTGGATGTCTGCTGCATCTCTAGATGGGAGCCCTACATTGGACCCCAACAACTAGCCTCATGCTGGTCCATAGCACCTGCCAATACGTACACGTGAGGAAACAAACATACCCTCCGCACTGGATGAATTTGAATTGAATTGCATGGGGGAGGAATGGCTTTGGATATCCTCAGCTGTCAAGGTTCTTTTCTCTTCCCTTAGAATGTGCCAGAGTCTTCCATGCTGCAGGTGCTAAGCTGGTGCTCTGTGGCCGGAATGTAGAGGCCCTCGAAGAACTCACCAGAGAGCTCACTGCTTCTCATACCTCCCAGGTGAGCCCAGGGCATGTTTTCCAAGGGGAAGGGCTCTGGTAGCCCCCTTAGGAGACAGCAGGCCACTCTTGGGCTGCTGGACTGAAGAACATTTGTGTGGTCAAGCTGTACAGGGGAAGCAGTAGGACTCCAAGCAAAGGGGCCACAGCCTGAGGAGGGACTGTCTTCACGTCCCACATTGCCACCACTGACCAGGCTTGTGGATTGAGGAAGTTCCTTCTGTGGGAATGCTTTCCCAGCCTTTTACCTGGCTTGTCTCCACTCACCTGGTGGGGATTGATGATGATTTAAGATTTTCTAAATTGTTTTAAAATAACACACACACACACACACACACACACACACCCTACATTTTGTTTATCCATCCATCTGTTGGTGAACTTGGGTTGTTTGTGCTTTTTTACTATTGTGAACAGTGCTGCTATGGATGTTGGTGTTAGAGTCCCTGCTTTCCATTTTTTTTTTTTTTTGATGTATACCTAAGAGTGAAATTACTCAATGATATGGGTAGTTTTGTTTACTTTTGAAGGGCTGCCAAACTGGTCTCCAGAATAGCTGCACCATTTTACRTTCCTGCCAGTAATGCACAGGGTCTGGTTTTCCACACTTGACATTTTTGGTGATATTGTTGGTGATGGTGGTTTTTAACTATACCCATCCTAGGAAGGGTGGGTTTTATAGTTTAAACTCTTACATTTAGGTCTTTACTCTATTTGAGTTATTTTTATATGTGATATTAGGTAAGGGTCTAATTTCATCCTTTCATGTGCATATCCAATTCTCCTAAAACCCATTTTTTGAAGTCTATTCTTTCTTCATTGAATGGTCTAGCACTGTTGTCAAAAATCATTTGGTCATGGTGGTACACACCTGCAATCCCAGCAACTTGGAAGGCTGAGGCAAATGAATTGTAAGTTCAAGGCCAGCCTCAGCAACTTTTTAGCAAGACCCTATTTCAAAATAAAAAATAAAAAGAGTTGAGGATGTAGCTCAGTCGAAAATGCTCCTGGGTTCAATCTCCAGTACTGGAAAAAAAAAATTGATCATATATTTAAAAGTGTATTTCTGAGTTCTTTATTCCATCCCATTGGCTGATATGCTTGTCCCTTGTCAATAATATGCTGTCTTAATTACTGTAGCTTTGTAATAAGTTTCAAAATCAGGAAGCGTGAGTGCTTTAACTATGTTCTTTTTCGGGATTCATTTGCTATTGAGGGACCATTGCAATCCCATGTGAATTCTAGGATTTTTTTTTTTTTTCTGCAAAAGATGCCATTGGGGGCTGGGGTTGTGACCCAGGAGTAGGGCACTTGCCTAGCATGTGCAAGACCCTGGGTTCAATCCTCAGCACCACAAGAAAATAAATAAATAAGATAAAGGTATTGTGTCCAACTACAACTAAAAAATAAATATTAAAAAAAAAGCCACTGGGATTTTGATAAGAATTGCATTGAACTTATAGATCACTTTGGTAGTATTGTGAAATTAACAATATTGACTTCCAATCTATGAACATAGGATGTCTTTCCTTGTATTTGTGTCATTTTTAATTTTAGTCAGCAAATGTCTTCAGTGTGAAAATCTTACATTTCCTCGGTTAGATTCATTCCTCAGTATTTCCTAACATCTTTTGCTTTCCTAACATCCTTTTCACAATTTATTGTTCCTGTATGGAAACAGCTGATTTTTTTTGTTGTTGTTGTTGTTTTGATCTTGTACCCTGCAGCTTTGCTGAATTTTTTAGTTAGCTCTTAATAGCTTTCATGGGATTTGCTGCCATTTTCTATATATAGAATCATGTCATCTGCAAACAGAGATAGTTTTATCTCTTCTTTTCCAATATGGGGGACGTTTTCTTGTCTCGTTGCTCCAGTGAGGACTTTCCAGTGCAGTGTTGCACTTTACATCTGTTGGGATGCCCTCCACGTTGTGTTGCTTAGCTACTCATTTCTCTAGCACAGGACTTTATAGCATTCTTCACAGTTACAGAATTAATCTGTGCCTCAGAGGGACAGGTTGTTGGCTTCTGCTATGTCCTCATTACATGGTACATGTAAATATTATTTCATGAAGAAATGAGTCAAAGTGACTTAACCTGAGAAGAACAGGACCCCTCTGTGAGCCACTGAACGTATTAAAGTTGGATAGCACAAAGCAGCCAGGATAGCTAGGGTTAATAGCTTCTGTGGTTACCTGCTACAGCAGTCCACACATATGTGACCTGTCCTGGGGAGCTTACAACTGGGCTTCTGAAAGTAGGAGAAGCCCAGGTCATATCTCTTTGAGGTGCAGGCAACTTTAGTTCAAGATTAGAGTTGTCCAGGTCAGGGGTGACCACTGTAGGCAGGGTCACCCTGTAGGCCTCATCTCTTCGGAAAAGGACTGCTGCTGTAGCCCATGTTGTTTCGTGTCCATTATGTCACTCCCTGGACTCTGAAAAGCAGGGACACATAGCTATGGGGCCTGTCACTTATCAGGTATATTTGGTGTCTTGTGTTTGGCCAGAAGCAGACGCACAAGCCTTACACAGTGACCTTCGACCTCGCAGACACGGGGGCTACTGTTGCTGCAGCAGCTGAGATCCTGCAGTGCTTTGGCTATGTGGATGTACTCATCAATAATGCTGGGATCAGCTACCGAGGGACCATCACAGACACCACAGTGGATGTGGACAAGAGGGTCATGGAGACAAACTACTTTGGCCCTATTGCTCTAACAAAAGGTAACAGTCTTGGGTTTAAAGAGGAAAGAGTGTGATATGTTGGCATCTTTTTTGTTCTACTCAGTTCCTCTTGGGCTGCATGCCGCCYACCCCCATTTGCTGTTTTACCCTGCTGTGGGTGTGGTCACTGTAGTTTGAATGTTTGCTTTTTGCAGGTTTCTATTAGCATTCTCTCTGTGTTAGCCCTTTATCAGGGTCTTCCTCTAGCCACAGCCTCCTTGGCTAGCACTGCCTTGCTGTGGTGTCTGCAGATTCCTTTGTGGTGGGGATATTTTGATATCTAGCTAGACTTCAGTCCAGGGAASAGACTCCCCATAGGACAGGGAACTGTGCTGCCCATTGTGGGTGGTTACTCTGTCTGTGGACTTCCTCCTGCCTCTTTCCTCTGCTGCATGGCTCTGCATCCTGAGGAGCTGTCACCAGATGCCTTTGGAAGTGTCAGGCACAGTGACTGGAAGATGGTGTCTAAATTCCTGCCCTCTCCCCTCAGCACTCCTGCCCTCCATGATCAAGAGGAAGCAAGGCCACATCGTCACCATCAGCAGCATCCAGGGCAAAATCAGTATTCCTTTTCGATCAGCATGTGAGTTCCCCCCCAAAAAAAACCATTCTTGTTTTCTTATAAAAATAACACGTTTACCGTCCTGAAATCAGACATTGAAGAAATACCCTACATGGAACGTGAAGGAAGTTCATCAGAATGTGTTCTCTGGAGCCACATACCTGGGGTCAAATCCCAGCACTGCTTCTTACCCACTGTGTAACCTTGGGCAGGTGTCCCCACCTCTCTGGATTCATCTGTATTTGCACATAGGTACAAGTCCCAGCCCCAGTCTAAAGGAGCTGCTGTGAGTACAGTGTCTGGAGAGCTCTACCCTGGGCACTGCACACACTGCCTCTCTTACTGTGTTGTTTACTAGCGTCAGCCCACTGATAAGGTTATTTTATCACTTTGGAGCATTAGCCTCTAATTTTTTTCTACATGTAATTAAACAAAATTGGGATCATGCCAGTTGCAGTGGCACATGCCTGTAATCCCAGCAACTCTGGAGGCTGAGGCAGGAGGATTGCAAGTTCAAGGCCATCCTGGGCTTAAAATGAAAAGGGCTGGGGATGTAGCTCAGTGGTAGAGCACCCCTGGGTTCAATCCCCAGGACAAAAAAAGGGGGGAGGGGGAGGGGACCCCATCATGCATGCTCTTTTGGAGCTAGCTTGTCCCACCTGGATGTCTGACTTTCCATACCAGCACATGTGGATTTACCTTATCCTTTTAAGTGGGTTTATAGTAATATGTTGAGTGGATGGTTGAGGAGCTTTTCCCCTTTTCAGTCCTTTGAGTGATTTGCCACAGAGAACATCCTTGAATGTTCATATCTCTGGGCACTTAGAGGARGGTTTCGATACGATGAATTCCAGGAAGCATAAATATTAGATAGGACCAAATAATTAAAACTGCCAAGTTGACTTCCAGTTCACAGGTTTCCCTCCATGCAGGAGAGGGTCTATACCACAGTCTAAGGTGTCATTTCTTCTGTCGCTCTGCCCTCACGTTGTACCAGCAAACACACAGAATGTAGTTGTTGGTGTTTGGGGTTTTTAAAAGACTTTAAAGGCCACTTCACAAACTGTCTCAGTAGCTCCTTTCTTTGCTTCATCTTCCGAAAGAAAAATATATGACTTGGGACAGCCTCACTCGTTCTTAGTCACTTTCCAAAGCCAGCCAGGGCCCAGCACAGCGAGGCCAGTGAAGGAGGCCTGGGCTGTGTCGGCAATTTGAAAACACAGTAATACTCTGCTTGATGATAAGATGGAGCAACCATTTGCACTAAAGATGGAACAGAATCATGTTCTTCCCCCCGAGGTCTTAATTCCAGCTACATCTTTTGGTTTTAGTTGTATGTGCTTGAATCAGTCACTTAACTTTTCTGACCCTCAGTTTCTTACCTATCAGTGTGACTTATAGTCATCATACATTTCACAGAGCTGGTACCAAGATGAAATGAGGCAACTAGAGATGTCCTGTGTAAACTGGAACAGTATTTGTTTCTATAGTTGTTATTTCTCTTTTTGCTAATATTCCATGTCAACCCTTAGAGCATACACAGGCAGTCACTTAAGGCTGCCAAAATGACCCCCCACCCCCAAACCACCATGTATAATCACAGATAATCATGCAAGTAAGGTAGAATGTCAATAGATAAATCAGGGTAAAAGATATACAGAGTTYTTTGTACTAAATTATTTCCACATTTTACTTTGATTACACCCCACTGATTTCTATTCTCTAATTGGCTTGCTGACTATAGTAGGTGTGCAAGAAGGGTTTGGATGCAGTTAGGTGACCAGACTGAATCTGGCTGTGCCTCCTGGGCAAGTGTGTCAGCTCAGCCTCCTCTCCCTTCTGCTGCTACCAGGAGAACCACATCAGGAGAAGCCATGAACTGTAACACTGCAGTGCAGAGGAGGGACGAAGTGATGGTGACAGTGTGACAGGAATGGGCTGCACAACAGGCTGAGAACCCATAGCCTAAGAGCGTGAGACCCAGTCACTGGTGTGGCTTCTGTCGTGGATGACCCACTCTTCCTGCCCTTGGGCCTTGGCTGCCCCCTGGAATTATTCACTCCCCTAATATCTACTCATCTAGCCCTGGAATCACTGCCCAAATACAGTCTAGCTGATTCCTGTGACACTTCCTTGCTTTTCTCCTTCCTGTTTACTTGGCCGAGAGAAGCCCTTTTTTATTAAGACTAAAAATGTTTAGGACCCAACTACAGGAAATTGATTTTCTGTGTTTCCCAAGAATATCACTGTAGGGTTACCCCCTCAGAGCACCTTCCATTAGATTGGGGAGCTGCTGCTGGGGAGCACAGGTGGCTCTGTCTCTTGCAGATGGTRCACTTTCTAGCTTCCAGTTGAAAGTTCCTGCCTAGTTTGCAAAGGGAAGTACATCAGAAGCAAGCTTGGACATCATACACGTGTGTGCAGGCAGGGATGCTCAGGGGTAGCGTGCTTAGCAGTGATGAAAACTGGAAGAGACCCATAAAGGTCCACTGATGGGGCCAGATCTGTCACCTGATGATCCCTTGGGGAGGATCAGGCAGCCAGAGCCATGTGATGGGTGGGTCTGCAGGGCCATCACAGAAAGTTACTTGCAGGAATAAAAGGAAGAGTATGAGCTCATTTCTGTAAAAGAAATGTAAGATCCCATCTTATATCTGTACCTGTACATAACAGATCCAAAAATAAATCCTAAGAAATGGCATTGGTCACCTCTGGGAACAAAATTAAAAAGCAGGACTTTTGCTTTTTTACTTTATGAGCATTAAGCTTTTGTTTAACTTGGAAAATTTTCAGACTTAAAGAAGAATTGTAAGAACAGCAGAAACATGTACCCTTCACCAAGATTCCCCAGTTAACATTTTCCCTTATTCTCTTATAAGTGAATTTACAATTATTTTTTCTCAGCCACGTGAGAATCTGGTGACAGATTCCCCTTTATGCCTAACCACTTAAGATTTCCTAACAACAAGGACATAGAGCACTTCTCAAATCAGGAAATGAATATTGCTATAAGGCTTAAATCTTACATTATAAAACCATGTTTTAAACAGAGAGTAAATGGAGTGAGTAGGTGGGCCTTTGGCCCTACCCACCTTGGCACACTCACTGCCTCTCTGCCCATGTTTGCAGATGCAGCCTCCAAGCATGCAACCCAGGCCTTCTTTGACTGTCTKCGTGCTGAGATGGAACAGGATGGGATCCAGGTGACTGTCATCAGTCCCGCCTACATCTATACCAACCTCTCTGTAAATGCCATTACCGCGGATGGGTCCAGATATGGAGGTAAGGCCTTGTTGCTCTTGTATGAAAAGCTATCGATCAGCCCTAGTGAAATGTGTAGCTCTTACCTACCCCAGTGATTGTTGTCATTTTTCATTTAGAATATGATTTTTAAAGCTGAAAAACTTGGCATGGTGTTGGCTGTAGGTACCGATTGTTATTTAATCTTCACTTACCACCAAGAACTGACCTCAGCCTGAGCATCACCACTAGAGCTTTCAGAACAGGAGGCCTAGAGGTAGAGGACTTAGTGGAATAGAAAGGAAGTCCCTAACCTGAATTGCCCCTAAACAGCCAGCTAACGTATTTCTAGATCCCAAGGCCCAAATAGTTTTTTTTTTTTTTTTTTTTTTTTTTAGTGCAGGGGTGGGTACCCAGGATTGAACCCAGGGCGCTCGACCACTGAGCCACATTCCTAGCCCTATTTGGTATTTTATTTAGCGACAGGGTCTTAGTTGCTTAGCTCCTTGATGTTGCTGAGGCTGGCTTTGAACTCGCAATCCTCCTGCCTCAGCCTCCTGAACTGAGCAGAAAAGGATTACAGGCCAGTACCACTGCACCAGGCCCAAGAAGTATTTTCACTATCAAGACTAAGGGAATTAACTTTGGGGCAAGTGTGGGCGGCTTGACCTGAATGGTCCCTCCTCAGTATATTGGAGAAATGACTGGCTTCAGGAACAGTCTTCAGGGTAAGGCTGGGTACGGTGCAGTAATCTCCATCTTGCTTCAGTAGCACCGCGGCTGACCTGCAGTCACCATTTGTGGGCTGGGCAGCCCCCCACCAGCATGCAAGCCAGGCAGACAGCAGTCAGCTACTGCTTCTCAAGTTAGGCAGCCCATGAGTTCTAGAGCTGCTGAAGCCTGCCTGCCTGCCTGCCTGCCTGCACTCAGAACAGAACTGCCCATCTCTACAGTATGTTCCACTGTGTCTTGCCTCCCTGGCTGTGGTCTCTTGCAGGTCTGTGCTGCAGCATCTGCCAAGGACCTGCTGGGCTTGCACCCACCCCAGCCAAGTTTGAACCAAGACTACCCTGTCCTGGGTGGCAGCTGCTCTCTTCCTAAAGCAAATGTCTCTGTAGCACTTTACAATTAAGCAGTAATTAAAAACTTCCCATTCTTTCATTAACCACCGTGAGAACAGATACTGGTGAGGAAGCTCGGCAAACTGGATAGCTTCAGGAAGGTATCAGACTGGGTGTGCTAGTGGCCTGTGCCTGCTGACTGAGCCTACTCTGCTGGCAAAATGTCAGATCACTAGTAAAGAAGGGTTAGTAACCTTTACACTCCCAAACTACCCACAGCTGTCTTCTCCAACAGCTTAAAGTGAATGACAGGTTTCTTCCTGTCCCTCATCCAGCTAACGCGAAATTGGGAGTTGGGACACCTGTCTACTCTCTACTCAGCTGGTGGTACACGTATGGGTCAGAAGGCCCTCCCCACTTCAAGAGATGGTACCACAGTCTCCACTCATTTGTTGTTTCAAGAGCAAAAATGTCCAAGATCAGGAAGCTGCTGCTCAGGTGGGAGGGGCTTGCTCTATGAGACCCTTCCTTGGCCGGCCTTCTGCTTTTGTCATCAGACCACCAGGCAGATGGACTCACATTGGTTCCAATCACTGACGGGGGTCCCCAGTCTGTCTTGTCCCCATATTCCACCCATATCTCCCTTACCCTCACTTACTTACTTAGACACACAGAATGGTTCCTGTTTCCTCTGGATAGAACACCTTCAGGGACAGGGGCATGCCACCTGCTTCCTGGCAGACTCTGGGAACAGCTTCACAGTGGGGAGTGCAACAAGCTGACCTAATGGCTCCTGACAGCTCCAGTCCTCCAGAGAAGGTCCTCTGCTTTCTAGTTCATGTGTTGCTTTTCTTCTTTTAGCTGTTGACAAGAACACAGCCCAGGGCCGAAGCCCTGCAGAGGTGGCCCAAGATGTTCTTGCTGCTGTGGGGAAGAGGAAGAAAGATGTGATCGTGGCTGACTGGCTGCCTTCCTTGGCCGTTTATCTTCGAACTCTGGCTCCTGGGCTCTTCTTCAGCATCATGGCCTTCAGGGCCAGAAAGGAAAGAAAATCTAAGAATTCCTAATCCTGTCCAGAGCTAGCAGCTCCAACCAGTTTGAGCTAGGATGAGGAGCAACACTTCCCCAGGCTTGCCTGCTCTYCAAGGGACAGCTGTGCTTGAGACTTTAATGGCAATTTGCCCTCCAGGTGGAAAAGACTGAAGAAACTTTTCTCCTGCAGGTCYATGATACAGCCCCAGGCCATGAGCTTCTTCTTAGAGGTGAGGGATAAGCACTTAAGGAATGAATATGGAGATGGGTTTCAACTCTAAAAACATGAAATAAATGATAGGAATAGTAAGAGTYATAAACCTCAGTGACTAGAAGAACTGAAGCATGTCCTTTGAACTCCAGCCTTGATGACTCCTAGAAAACTGTCTTGGAGTCAGATGTTATAACATCACCTGACCCAGTTGTTCGAGTTTGACATATCCAAGACCACTTGACCCATTTGCTTTGGAGGGGACAACCACCAGCACTTGGGAGAGAAGGTGGTATTTTTAGGAAATCATTATTCATATCCCTTTCCAGGATCCTGTGATAGCCCATTTGATATAGAAAATGGTGGGCTACTTTGTGATGGGTTCTATGGCACATCCCAAGTGGCTTTAGCACCAAAAGGTATTCCCTATGTTCCTTCTCACTCTAACCACAGCCTTAGAGGATGCCAGGCATCATTCAAGCAGATGAATTTCCTAAAGAGGCAGCAACCAGAAGGGAGACCTCTACATGGCCCTAGACATCCTCTAGGTAAAGAAACCTTTGGAGACTGGCCTGGTGAGCAGAGCTGAAGCTGGAAGGAGTTCATTTGCTGATTATAGCCAGAGAGAAGGCCTGGGTCCACCTTTGATTTATTAAAAGTACATAGTTGAAGTTCTTGAGTGAGTCACTTCATTTAGGGAGAAGTTTTCCTATTAATGAGAATGAAGTTGAAATAGTAGGTCCACTGTAGACTTCCCCAAATTGGGATAAAAATCTCCTAGCATGTGATGTTGATGTCTGCACTGACCTAACTCTGGCTCTGTTCACCTTTTGTTGTAAACAGCTGCCTCTGATGGGAGCCTGGGGTTAGGGCTCTGGAGGATTTTAAGTTTCTTGGGAGTAGACGAACAAGTGGATGATTAGCTGGGGCCCTGGCTCACAGCACATCCTGGACATTCCAGAGCCTTGGGTAGAATGTGAATATACACAAGATGGGTGGTTCTTCGTCTTGCACAGGAATCACCACCCCATTCCTGACATCAGAGAGAGGGTTTCTTAGTGTCTGGGGATGCTGGGGCTGAGACAGCAGCAACTGTTCCAGAACTAGCCCAGTCTCAAGTGAAGTGAAACTGCCAAGCATGTAGCAGGTTCAGGGATAGGGGCTCCCTCTCTAAATGGAGCAAGAGAACACCTCTTCTTAGACATTTATTGACTGGCACTTTTAGAATGGCTGATGTCCAGGTGYTGTTCCTTTCTTGTCTATTAAATAAAACCATCAGCATTGGATATACTGCCCTCAAAATGAGAGTTCAGCCGTGGTGTCCTCCATCTTTAGAAGATAGGGAACTGCAAAGCCATTGGTGAGGGTGTTGCTCTGGGAGCCACCGTGGGTAGGTAGTTATGAGCCACCAAGCCTTATCAGCTTGCAGCTGTAGTGCAGGGAGCTTGGAGCACCTYAAGTTCACGTCTGGTGGACATGTGGTGGTTTCTTTGCCTAACATTATTTAAAACTCACTTTCTAAGATTTACTTTAGAAACGCTCTACATATTTTGACATATAAAGTATAATGTAAAATRTGATTATTAACTGGGCTCTTCTTCAGCATCATGGCATCCAGGGCCAGAAAGAAGAGAAAATCTAAGAATTCCTAATCCTGGCCAGAGCTAGCATAGATACGGCTACTTGCCAGAGGCCGAACATGGGACACCCTGCTCTTGAGGTTGGCAAATTCCAGGGAAGCTTTAATGTCAGAGGGACGCTCTTGGCCTCAGAGACCACAGCCCAAAGGGCCGGTCCAGTGTGCTTCAAGTTCCCTGTTGCTCCTACAGTGTTATTTCAGGTACCTCTGGAACTAAGCAAGCCTTTCTGGATAGAGTGCTGGTTTGGACAAATGGGAGACCTCCCGAGGCCGCCTGTCCTCATGKGGAGGGCAGCTGGTACATCCTCCTGGGGCCAAACCTCCACCTGCCCAGCCTGCCTGGCGAACTTATTCCAAGAGGGCAGCTCGCTACAGCCTGGCTTTGGCTTGTGGACTCTGAATAACCTTCATTTTAATCTTGGATTTTTCAAACCAGTGTTTGAATGTAAGCACTTGCCACCAGGGGTAGCATTGTTGCTGCAGTTCCAGTTTAGCTTTTCTGTCATTGGGGGTTTTTCTGGGGTTTTTTTGTCGTTGTTGTTGTTGTTTTGTTTTGTTTTTGGCTCACTTTCAATCTTGAATTCTGTAGGAAGGTCTGAAAACCACGACATTTAATTGGTTCTGCCTTCAGATATCGGATAAAGTTCAAAGACACTTTCCACTTTCCTTTCCAAACCTTTTGGTGTTCCATTGGTGCTTGGGCAAGAGCAGGCCATCTTGTGCTTCCTGCCCAAAACTGAGCCTGAAAACTAAAACTAGCTTTTCCTTCCCAGCCAGCACGGCTCTACACAGTRTAGAGGGGGAAATGGTGAGGACATGGCCCCTTGGGCATACAGCTTGGCTCACAGCAAGTCTCCCAGCCTCCTGAGACAGGTGGGCGTCCCAGTGCTAGCAGACGTGAAACTTGGAGGAGCCGAGAGGCTGTGGAGGAGACACAGGTGGAAAGAGCCAGCCAGGGTCTGCCCTTCACATTGCCTGGTTAGTTGTCTCTGCTTCTCTGAAACTGGATGGGRTGGGTAGTTAAGGTTAAAGTGGTTTGCTAGATTAGTTACACGACCCATTCCCTTAAATGACCCACGTGGGACTTGGGCAGATTTTCCACAGCAGGACGTCTGGGTCATGTGGCCTTTGCTTCCTCTCAATTCTCAGTTACTGAAAGCTGTGTGACACAGGTGAGCATGAGCCACTTGTCGAGGACCCTGCTGTGTGTGACAGCCTCTCTGGGCAGGAGGGAGGTATACGTTGGCTGCTCCCAAGGCCTTGCCTGGGTCACACCAATCCCTGCCTGCTGTCTGCAGAGGCACTGCAGCTTCACTTGTATGACCAGGGACCACATAACTACGATGGCATTTCACAACCTGGGTTGGTACRCCCAACAAGAGACACTTTGTTAAGTGTGGCCTGGGAAGTGGGAAAGGAGCGTCCATTTGTACCTGGTTCCTATTTTGGTTGAGGGCATCTCCTTGGCTGACCTGAGGTCCCACAGCCTGTCCAGTTCTAGCCACCTCCCCCATGAAATCTGATGTGCAGAAAGAGCACAGCTAGGCCAGTCATGGGGCTCCCTTTCCAACTCTGAACCTGTTACAAAAACACATACCATGCTGTCCTGCCCAGCAGGCTTGGAAGCCAGTGCTCAGAGCCCGAGTTGTGGACAGCGCATTTCAGCTTGTCCTGCACAATTGGGATGAGGCCTGTTTGTCCAGGATCTCTTGTAGACTATGTAGTTACCACTTTATTGTTCCCACTGGCCAAAGGCCAGCATGTAAACAATACTGTACACCTGACATTTTATCACTCAACAATTCAAGGACACTGTCAAAGTTTAAAATGTTTTGTGGGCCATGGTACTCTTAGATTTGGATCTCCCCTACCAAAACGGCGTAACCGCCCCAGAGCCTTGCTGTGTACCGTGGGTGAAGCGCCCTCATGGCTCTGTGGCACAGCTGGGTGAAAGGTCAGCCTGTCTGTCTCCTGAAGACTGTCCTTCGTAAGTGCTGTGTGGCTGTGAGGGGAGAACTGGGCCACTGAGGCCTCGGCCTTTGTAAAGGGGTCTATTGTCCATTTATCCAGAACCTCAGCAGGAGTGTGGCAGACAGTGCATAAGATGACTTTTGGCTGAGGAAGGAGCCCAGCAAGGGGCTGGGCTGCTGTGGATTAGCCCCCAAGGCTATCCAGGGTGCTTTCCTGATGGTTTCCAGGGCTCTTCCCTTGGCCTAGGACATGCGTTGCATTCGGTCCACATCAGGAACAGCTGTGGGTGCTTTAAAAAAACCAAAGATGTTAGCACCTGTGTCCTCCTAAATCAGAATTTCTGGACAAAGGCTCCTGGGCCCCAGAATTTCCCAAAAKGGAACCCAAAGAGAGACTCATGGTATCTCTAGGCACCATCACTTTACCATGTCCCCGAACACCAGTGTGTCAGCAGTGCTGACCCCAACCACAGCAAGGCCAAGGTGAGCCAGGCTATCTGGGCAGGGGCTGCTGGCCCCAGGACCTCAGATCCAGACCTGTTCTTGCTAAGTGGTGACACTAGGCTGCAATGAGGAGCAGAAGGTGTCCGTAGTGCCTGCATAACTCAGGTGCAGCGGGAGCGGCAAGCACCATTATGGACAGAGAGAACAGCAGAAGTTGAAATTCTCATAATTTTAATAATGGTCAATAGCTTCTGGTTGGCTCTGAATGGTACAGTTAAACAATATACTTCAAGACCCCCCCCCCCAAAGCGCGTTCACACCCCCCTCAGTAGCRTTGGCTTCCATCCACATTCCACTGCCCAATCAGACTTCCACAGCCTCAGAACCGCTCCTGGGTTATGGAAATCCACATCTTAGTGTAATGAGCTGAAAAACCCCTTGGTATACCCATGATCTGTGTTCTTTTTTAAAAATAACAAGTATTAAACCAAACACCTTCCCAGGCTGCCTTGCAGAGCAAGAAGTGTTACTGTGGCAATCTGAATCCTCTCCTCTCTCACACGGGCTGTGTGGCTCTGCTCCTCTCCCTGCTCTACTGAAGTCATACAGCGTAGAGTTCGTAAATCTTCTTTACACAGTACACCAGGGCGGCCAGTGCTATCGTGTTGTGCAGTCTCTTTCTGTGCAGGTCGTCCTTCCGGACCAGCACCACCGGGGTGGAGGAGGTGAGTGTGTGCAGAGGCAGGCGGGACAGTTTATAGGCATCGTACTCCACTTGGTACTTGCAGCAAGGGTCAAACTGCCAGGAGATCCCGTAGAGGGTGCAGCAGGCCAGGCTCAGCGCACCAGCGGGCAGGGAGATGTAGTGGGAATAATCTAAGGGCAGTGCCAATGGGGTGAAGAGGCAGGCAGTACCCGCCAGCACGGTCGTCTTGTGCAGGCAATTGCCCACGGTGATCCAGCGCGCAGTCTCATCGCCGATGCGGGTGGGCTCGATCACAATGTACTTGTACTGGGCTTCCAGGGCCTGCTCCAGCTCATATTCAAACTGGTCTTGGGCGTTCTCCCCATTGTAGATCTCGTGCACAATGTAGCAGTCCGTGGCCGACAAGCTCACCCTTTGATGGGGGAGAAAGACAAGGCAGTTAGGCTGAAGCACTGGACTGGGTTTCACTAAGATGCTGGAAGAATCACTTATGTGTTTATCTGCTCTAGAACCCAACAGACAAGATAATCAGTAAACATTTTTCTTTCTGAGAAAATGAAAGATGCAGATTCAGCTTGTCCTGCACTGGTGCATCTGACAAGCCACCACACTGTATGCCAGCTTGCTGGGGAGCGTAGTGTGGCACTCTAGCAGACTGCCAAGTTGGAACACAGCCCAAAGGGAAAAAAGTGATTGCAGCACAGAATGCCACAGACCTGAACACAGCAGATGCACAAGGTCAACAGCTCGGAAGCTGCTCTTGGGTTGTCAGACAACTGCAGGAGGGTTTTTCTATGGAAACCAACATACCCCCCAGGACATGATACTGAACAACCCTGCCCTTTGCTCAGTTCAAAAGTGGCCATCCATCGTTTGCACAACTGAAAACAAAAAGGGACAGCTTCACCTCA